CGTTGTATGTTGTGTGTTGTGTTGCAGGTGAGTGGTGGTGGAGCCCCCTGCTGGAGGAGCTGCAGGTGGAGGGCAGCTGTGTTCAGGCTGACAGTTGGAGTCTCGTTGTTCAACCAACCTTCCTGCAGACGCTTCATAAAGACCTCATTAAACAGCAGGATGTTATCTACGGTATGTTAATATTCACATCAAACAACATTAATGAATATAAATAATAACGCAGTTCAATAAGAATATCAGATAAAAACTGGTTCCTGCACAATAATGTCTCTAACAATTAAAACTTAATAAACAGTAAGTCCTTATAATCCTTATAAAAAGGAGTTTGGTGTAGAGTTAGCACTGTACTTTACATATATTGTGTATATATATATATATACATATGTATTCTGTATACACACATATAAATACACATTACCACCTCAGACAGCACCAGTCTCCCCGGGTATTACTATTATAACAATTATTAAAATCCAGCAGCGTAGTTCGACCCTGTTCAAGTAGACAGTTTACACAGGAGGCAAGTATATTATTGATTATTCAATGCTGACCTTAACCAGTTCAAGAACCAGAGCTAATCTGGTGAAAAGGGGGTCCTCCAGGTCCACACTGCTCTTCCAAACGGTTCCTCTTTTTAACATTCATTTTACCTCTGCTAACTATCTGACCATCACATTCTAGCTCTGTACTTAACCTGTCTGTCTCTCTCTCTACCTGTCTGTCTCTCAGAGTTAATCCAGACCGAGTTCCACCACGTGCGGACGTTGCGGATCATGGAGGGGGTATACCGGCGGGGGATGCTGGAGGAGGTGATGCTAGAGGCGGGTGTGGTTCACACCATCTTCCCCTGTCTGGACCAGCTGCTGGAGTGGCACTCCGGCTTCCTGTCAGAGCTGCTTAACAGGAGGAAGGAGGGTCTGATGGAAGGCAGCTCCACCAACTTCACCGTCCGCAGGATCGGAGACCTGCTGCTCAGACAGGTACAGGTGGACCCTGTGTGTGAACTCACTGTGGTTGATTAGGGTCACACAGGATCAAGGTTTAGAGGTTTAAAGAGCAGCTTCTTTACTGCATTCTGGGAAATAAAACGTTTTTTTTCACTAGCTGTTTGGAGTTCCGATTTCAGATCCACTGAAATCATTTGAGGAGTCTCCACCTGCTGGACATTTTAAATCATTACACTCACTGGATGTTTCTGTCAGTTAAACATAGCCAAAATATACCTAAAAAAAAGAGAGATAACAAACCAGAGCGTCACTCTCATTACTTAAAGTAGTAACATTATAGAAATACTCCACTGGTAGTTAAGTTCTGCATTTAAAGTCTAACTTAAGTAAAAGTACAGAAGAAATAGGAACTACATGTGCTTCTATATGAAAATTGAACATACTCATACTGTTCAATGGCCACTTCATCAGAAGCAGGTTTATTGCCAAGTAGTTTTTCACATACAAGAAATGTGTAATAGTCCAATAGTAAGTTGGTGCATAACAATAAACATAAATATAGAGACGAGGAATCTGCAAGTTAGCAGTGTGACGTATAATGATATCTGTAATGTGCAAAGATTAAATCCAATGTGCATTAATGTAATGAATATATACAGGGTGGGTTTAAGAGTCAGTGTCAGTGGTGGTCCCGGGTCTTGTTGATGAGTTCAGCTGCAAACTGTTCTTGTGGCAGGAGGTTTTGGACCTGATGGACCGCAGCCTGCTGCCAGAGGGAGGTGACGGAAAGAGTCGGGATGGGGGGGGTCAGCCACAATCTTACCTGGGGTTCTGGAGTTCAGTCATTGAATTATCCGAGGACCCCAGATCGAAAACAACACAAATACCAACAAAAACAAGAGTACTTAAGTGTCTCCTGTACAAATAAAACATACAAAAACAATGAGTCTATGAGGCTAAATTACAGTTTAAAACATCAAATACCGAAATCAATGTTGTGTATTATCCTTTATTAGTAATCGAGAGGCGATTGTAAGTATAAATGTGAAAGAAAGCACCGACTGATAGCGCCCCTGTCTCGACCACTCAAGCGCTACTACTACATTTCACACACATTCACAAGTCCATTGAACAGAAACTAATGCATTCATACACATTATTCATTACATTATTCATGCACATTCACACACAGCTGCACAGCATCGGGAGCGATTCGGGGTTCAGTATCTTGCTCAAGGATACTTTGACATGTGGCACCAGGAGCCGGGGATCGAACCAACAACCTTCCGATTAGGGGACGACCCGCTCTGCCTTTGCGCCACAGCCGGCCATTACTGTGTATTATCATTTAATATTGTTTATTACTGTGTGTTATTGTGTATTATACTGTATGGTTGTCTGTGTAGTTTTCAGGTCAGCCTGCAGATGAAATGAAGAAACTTTATTCTGAGTTCTGCAGTCGACACCCGAAAGCTGTGAAACTCTACAAAGAGGTGTTAACTCGAGACCGAAGACTGCAGCAGTTTGTCAGGGTAAGGACCAGAACCTCAGACCTGGTTTTAGACCTTCAGTCCGATCTGATCTGTTTTAAGCTGACTTAAACTCGTATAAATTGACATTAACTGGTTTAGACTGGTGTCTAAGTTTTTCTGTGTTGATGTCGACTGTCTTTCTCCATCCCATAATGCTCAGCGTGCATGTCGGGGTCCTCTGCTGCGTCGTCATGGCGTCCAGGAGTGCATCCTGCTGGTGACACAGCGAATCACAAAGTACCCCGTCCTCATCCAACGTATTCTCGACAACACCAAAGGTAACCAAGACCTCTGACCTCCAGTAACCTCTGACCCGCCCCCTTTTTGGTGAAAGCAGTTGCTCTAATTTGACTGGCAGTAAATGTAAATTCTGATTTGATCAGTTTATAGCATAAAATAAGAATACTGTATTGATTGTATCTGTTATATCATAAATCCTCTGTGCAGTCACAATGACCTCTGACATCTGATGTCACCATGTCCCTGTGACCTCATGCAGGCAACGAGGAGGAGGCCCAGGCGTTGAGTCAGGCTCTGTTCCTTCTGAAGAAGCTGATTAGCTCAGTGGACCAGGAAGTGCTGGAGCTGGACCGGACCAGGAGGCTGCAGGAGATCCAGGCCCGTCTGGACCCCCGGGCCCAGGCGGAGGTCCGTGGAGGAGGAGTGTTCAGGGGAGGAGAACTGCTGAGGAGGAGGCTCCTCCACGAGGGGACGCTTCTCTGGAAGGTCCAAGGCTCCAGGATGAAAGGTAGAGAATTCTGTATTCTGTTGGAGAAAAGGAAGAGAGGAAGTTAGGAAATATATGTCTGTTTTAATTTACTATGAACTAAGTTAGCATCAACCAAACTCCATTAAAAAAACAAGCATTTTAAAAGACAAAATCTGAGTTCAGACTTTTTACAAATCGCCATCATGATGTAGTTATTATAGTTATAGTTATTATTATTTTCATCTGTTTGTTGACATGAAATGACAGAAACATCTGTTTGGGCTTTTGGACTCATACGGCCGCAGTGAGACAGATTAGAGGCAAGATATATGAGAAAATGATCGCTCGAGTAAACTAGCATGAGTAACTCAAGTTTGGTGCAATGACTCCGTTACTCCTGCTGACCAGCTGCTGAATGTTTGTCTCCAGATGTGCAGGTCCTGCTGATGTCAGACATCTTGGTTTTCCTTCAGGAGAAAGATCAGAAGTTCACCTTCGCATCACTGGTGAGTCTCACCTGGTCTCACCTGGTTTCACCTGGTCTCACCTGCACCTCCTCGTGTTCCTCCTCCTGTGACTCCTTTCAACATAAGGGAGCAGTAGTTCTCCTCTGTCTGTCTGTTTACCTGTCTGTGTCTGTGTGTCAGGACAAATCTCCGGTGGTGTCTCTGAACAACCTGATCGTCAGAGATATAGCCAATCAGGAGCGAGGGATGTACCTGATCAGCGCCTCCACCCCTCCAGAGATGTACGAGCTGTACGCTTCGTCCAAAGACGACCGCAGGACCTGGATGAGCCGCATCCAGCAGACCGCCCTCAGGTCGCTACTGCAGTACAGTACCACACAGTACTACACAGTACTACACAGTACTACACAGTACTACACAGTACCACACAGTACCACACAGTACTACACTGTACTACACAGTACTCACATTAGTTTGTGTTTTGTCTGCAGTTGTCCATCCAGAGACGAGTTTCCTCTCATTGAGACCGAAGACAAAGCTTTACTGCGCAGACTGAGAGGTACAGCACCTCCTCCTCCTCCTCCTCCTCCTCCTCCTCTTTCTACACCTTCTACTAGATCTCCTCTCTCTTCATGTCCTTTCTCCTCTTTTTCCTCCTGTTAAAAAATAAAATAATAAAATCCATCTAATTCAACATTATTTTTCTCCTCCCCTCCCCTCCTCTTCCCATCCTCCTCTCCTCCTCTCCTCCTCCCCCTTACCTCCCCAGCTGACATCCAGCAGAAGGATAGGGAGGTGCTGGAGCTCCTGCAGGAGCGAGTCACTCTGTTTTCTGACCTGGTGGAGGCAACAGGAAGAGGAGGAGGAGAAGAAGAGGGGGGCGTGGAGCTGAGCAGATCCTCCTCCAGGACCTCTTCCTCCTGCAGGAACCTGTTCAGAGCCGACACTCCTCAAACTCCTCAGGGGGAGCCGCTCCTCAGCGCCTCCATCACTGAAGGTGAGTTTCACTCTCAGGTTGGACGTGAAGAGAAAGATTGAGACTGACTGCTTGTTTGTTCTCAGTGGACCGACTGACCCAACTGCTGCTGGACTCCAACATCCACAAGTCCTCGGTAACCAACGGCAACCAGGAGCTCAGCGGTGAGTCACCTGGTACCTGATCGATCTCTGATCCATCTCTGATCAATCTCTCTGATCAATCTCTCTGATCAATCTCTCTGATCAATCTTTGATCACTCTCTGATCAATCTCTCTGATCAATCTCTGATCAATCTTTGTCTATCTCTGATCAATCTCTGATCAATCTCTCTGATTAATCTCTCTGATCAATCACATTGTCAGTGGATGGAAACGTCTGACCAACAGTTTCAATTTATTGTGAAATAAATATTTTAATTAAAATATTTATTAAAATAGTTCATAAATTGATTACTCAGACATTAGCTGATTACCCTGTCTGTCTCTCTGTGTCTGTCTCACTGTGTCTGTCTCTCTGTCTGTCTCTCTGTGTCTGTCTCACTGTGTCTGTCTCACTCTCAGATGGTGACTCTGGTTCTCTGAATGGTTCTTTTGAGTTGAACAGCAGCACCTCAAAGGTAAATCTCACCTTTAACTTTCAGCCTCTGATTAAAGGCTTGTTTGTGTCCTTCTATGATAACGTTGTGTATTGTGGCTGTGTTGTTTCCATGGCAACAGAGCAGCAGATCTGATTGAATAAAGTTTAATGTTGTTGTATACATGTTAAACAAACAGACGTTATTGTATATTTTCATCCTGATTGGACGATGCAGAGAGTAAACTATCAAAATAAAAGCCCGACTGGATGAACACTGTTTTCTCTCTCAGGACAGAAACGGGAACCAGCTGCAGGAACGAAGTCTTAACGAGGTAACAAACACCTTCCTGTTTTCCTTCATCTGATCATTCCTTTGAGGTTATATGTAACATTATATAACATCTATTAATAATAATCTATAATCTAATATAATATAATCTATTAATATTATTATTGAATTGAAGATATTTGAAGATTATTATTTAGAATGAGCAGGGCAGATTGGCCGGAGAATTGTGGCAGCAGGGGCAGTATTACGGGCCCTTTATCAAAACAGTTGTCACAAAAGAGAGTTGAGCCGAAAGTCGAAGCTCCCAATCTACCGGTCGATCTTTGTTCCTACCCTCACCTATGCGGGTAACAAGCAGACCGAAATGGGTTTCCTCAGGAGGATGGCTGCGTCTCTCTTAGGAATAGGGTGATGTGTAGTCAAGATCACAACGTATCATTTGCAGTGGGTGGTAATGCATGTTTTTTGCCATTGTAACTTGGTTGTGACAAAGTTGGTACATCGGTCCTATTCCTTTGGTCTTACTCCAGTGATAACGAGGTTTGGAGGAAATCAAGGTGCAGGCTCACGAAGTTAGGTCTCTCAATAAGTGAAAAGCTAATCTCTGTTTACACACTGATTCTCTAGTCAGGTTTGTTTCACTGCAGAGGAGGACTGGGGGGCGGAGAGCGTTGTTTTTCGGTAATGTGTGTCCTTTTAATAAGGGGGTGTACTCTTGTTAGTGCTTTCTCTTCGCGTTGGACTGCTTTGATTATAATCCCCCAGACGATTCGGTTGGCGCGAGCATCTCTGAATTGTTCTGGGTATTGCGGACTGCTACACTCAGCATTACCACTAACAAGTCAGACTCTCACTTTACAGCCAAACAAGTCTGTAGGATGTGGTGAAGCTCGTACGGGAATCCACGCTCGAGATGACTGGAGACGTAGATGCTAGAGCTTCTGTCATTTGTCGGTTTGTTGATAAAGGGACAAAGCTTGGGATTCATGGAATTGCTTAATTAGACGTCACAGGCGTGCGAGTTAGGCACAAGGGGGAGTGAGACCTTGAGCACACAAGGTGTGATTGTAGATTACTATCTCAACACTGGCCTTGGCGAACGGCCTCAGACCCCCAGT